GCAATCATCCTTGTATTCACTATGAAAGTGCACCCAAGGACAATCCTAGGTTGATGGAGGACTATTGTGTAATGTGGTAAAATTTATAAGGTTATAGGTATGGGTTGCTATGGATTGGTGGATATGATAACTATGGAAATACTATGGTCCCTGTCCCTGACCAATATTTATACATACGGATAAACAGGCAGGGGGTGACTGGCAAACTCAATTAATCGGCCCCAGGTAACGGCCGCTGGCATGTAGCGACACGGGGGCAACATACGTTGAGCTGCTTGGGAAAGGAGAGGCATCCCACGGCAATCAGAGCAATCCCGGAAGTACGGTCAAGACCCCTACCATCTTACTGAGATACATCCTAACCTAACTCCTACTCTTGCGAATATCCACTCAAGCCAGCCTGATTTCTCATCATTGTTCACTCCAGCTTGTCACTAGCACTAACCGGAGATGAAAAACAAGACACCTCCCGGGAGTCAGGTCTGTGTGGTCGCCACTTTCATGCTACATTATTAACCCTATTTGTTTCCTTGAAGATTATTGAAGAATGTTTTTTAATAAAGGGTTTTCAAGTACGTAAGATTTGGATATCACTGGTTGAGTAAGAGAGCTCACCCATAAGCTTGAAGATGGTTAACAAAGACAAATATCGAAAATCGAAATAACAATGAAGGAAGAATTTTTCGCTCAGCTATAACCATTCCCTGCAGTTATGATATAAAAAACCTGATGCCTTTACCAACCGAAATTAAAAAAATATTATTCTAAAATTGAGTCGCAACGTCCAAAGCAATCGGTCGGGGTCGAAAAGCTCTGTTTGGATACACAGATTGGCACACGTATTCAGTTTGCATTATGCTCTGCTGGTTAATTCTAATGAACATATCTGTTCATAAAAGCGGGATACACGGTCATACCTTTTTCAGTCCTCCTAGCTTGAAAACGAAACAAGGAGCCATAAGATAATTCATCTCAATATTCAGCATTCATAAAGGTTATTTTTGTAGGACAACAATTTTGAATTTTAGAATCAGTACAGGATCAAACAATATGCGAAGCTGTGTAATGGCTGCCGATTATGGAACGGCCAGACGTCTTTATCGATTGATTACATGATAGTTACATATGTTTAACTTTATTAAGGTAAAAATAAACTAGAACCCACTCTTTCTAGAAAAGCTAGAAATAGCGAGATAATCAGCGAGATAATTCACCCTTACAATAGTGTGCTTGTCATTGTTAAAGCCTTTTCAGTACATGATCGAGTGGTTGTTTATGTCAGGGATTACGTTACGATGCTCAATTAAGGTACAGTATTACAAATTTATTGTTTTGGTGTTGCAAATCATGTATTTAAATACGGAAAGAATGTCACTATTTTCAAGTGTCTTAATTCTCTCCAACTTTTATGATTTTCATACATTTTTTGAAACAAAACGGCAGCTTGTAGAGATGTACACCTTCCTCCAGCCACCATCCTTATCCAACCAGTTGTTCTGCTGCTGTACTTGGATTGGTATTTCAATTTGTTGGAATTAGTACTAGAAGATGTATTTACTTTTGATTGGTGCTTAGTCAAGGTCTTATAGTAATATCACTCTTCTTTATTTGGACGACTACATTTTGACAGTTTTTAGCTTTCAATGAATATTCTTTAAATTATCTGTCATTTGTTTACAACAGTCACTTAAGTTGGTACGCATGCTACTTGCTTTGTCTGTATTAGTCGGTGACATCCACGAATATATTCTATCAATTTACATAGATGCACGATTGGATGTTGCAGCTGGCGATCGCGCGTTTCATAATTGGTCCATAATAAAACGGAAAGCCATACGAAAAAACAACAGTAGCACCTTAAAAATGAAAAAAAAATAGCGTTTTTTAACAATCTCAAGGACTTATTAACAGTGTTCAAATTCAAATCAAAATTTTAATCAACATGCCAATGTCAATAAGTTCACTCCAGAATATAACATCGTTTAAAAATCTTGGTTGATGTAAGGAATATTCTTAGTAACCTACTTTTTAAACAAATTAATTATTCAACTTATATCGGTCGCCCTAGTTACAACTGTGCATTTATCGAACGGTGAGACAACGTCGCGTGGTCTCTCAGTCTGTTTTTTTATATCAGCCAATTACCAAGGTATTGTTATTATTAAATCCTTCATCTCTCTTACGCATCTCAAGTGGCCGGCCCTTCCGGATGACCTAGTTGAAATCACACGTCTTTTGTGCTTACATAGAATTTGGTAAAATACTTTTGTTGTGAAATTTTATATATCATTGTTTGGATAATAATAAAATTACAGATATAATTTAGTCAATGGACAAAAGCAGTTTGGTTGGTATTGTTTGGAAAATACAAGTGGAAGCTACAAGTTATCAACAGGTGTAGCTACTTATAAAGCTGTACGATACAGAATATAATGGTCATAGTCTACCAAGAAGGCAATTTCAGAGAAGTAAGGCAGATAGCCTTGATAGACTGAGACTATTGAGGTCGAAAGAAGATCAAAGACGTGTTAAGGTGAAAAATAAGTTGTAAACTTGTACAACAAATTTTAGAACCAAAAATTATACAATTGAATTATTGTAGACGTTGTTATTTATTGTTTGGTACACAATTTTGGCGCGTAGTAAGAGTGCAGCGTACGGAGATATGTTGGTGTTGCCGTTGCACTCTCCGAGTGACCGGCAAGGGGGAGCGGTGTGGCGCTGTATTGATTTATCTAGGGGCCGACAAATATAGACAACTTGATAGATACGTATGCACCTAAGTAACATTCCGTCCGAACTTACATTCAAATATTCAAGAACATTATGTTGTATATTCAGATATCCGAAAAATTATATCCCTCCATTTTTAACTCTTGTTTCATGTGGACTCCTTGATTTAATTTTAATAATTAATTACCATTTAGGGAAATGTTTGTATATTGTATTTTATTTTTATTTATAGGTCTATAGGTACATTTCGGTGAAGAATAATTCTTTAGTAATATTTTTTATGACCAATTTACTTCCATATTAACATGCTTTGCTTATCCAGCAATTATTGCCATGCTATATGTATAGTGAAGCACACTAAAATGCCATAATGAAATCTTTACCCAACACTTTAGGAAATATGGGTTCTAGTCATAATCGCGTGTTTTCCATTCACACTTTCACCTTGTTTACCTCAGTCACCCCTTCGACACTTTTGCTTACACTCCTGTCCACGTACGAATCAATAGTTCCATCTACTTAAAAAAAACAAAAAGTTTTTCCCAAGTACACACCACCGTCATAGTCGACATAACGAGCCACTACTATCCCACCGATAATGTGAGTAAACCATTTCTGTCCATTCAAATTAGTTCCATTGTTTCTGCATCCATATCCATTGTACGGGTGCAACAGACTTAGTGAATACACATCCCCTTCTCACTCCCTATAATTGAGAAATTAGTTTGTGTTATTTCCCTTGTTTCTAACACACGCAATGTGAAAGGCATTCTAATGTTATTGCTGCACTGTTCTACTCAATACATTCAGATGTTTTTTTAAGGAATTAGTCGGCCAACGAGCAGACGTATTACCTGATGGTAAGCAATCCGCGCCGCGGGGCACCCGCAACACCAAAAGAGTTATGAGTGCGTTGCCGGCCTTTTGAAGATAAGGGATTTAAGGATTGGGAAGGGGTAGGGGAGGGGGAGGGATTGGGCCTCCGGTGACCTCACTCACACGGCGAAACACAACAATGTCGTTGTTTTACGCCGTTATTCGGTGAGGCCGTGGTATCACTCGAGCCGACCCATTTGTGCCGAAGCTTGGCTCTCCTACACTTATATATAAATACCTACATACTTCATTTTGACTACAATTCCACATTTTTACACAGATATCTCCACTAACTTAAAAGCAAAGCCAAGGTCGCTTCCCTTTGCATTTCTTTTTTGTTTTGGACAAGGCAAATTAAAAACAAAACAAGATCCAATCATCCATATCATTATCATCAGCAATCTGATTTCGTCCACAGCTGGACATGTGCCTCCCCAATTGCACTCCACTGAGCTCGATGTTCAGCTCTTCTCATTCCACCTCTGCCTGCTACCCTGCGGATATCGTCAGTCCACCTAGCTCAAGGACTTCCGACTACGTTTGCCTAGACGTGGTCTCCATTCTAGAACACGGCTACTCCAGCGGTCATCGGTTTTTCGACAGATGTGAACTGCCCACTGCCATTTCAGTTTGCTATTTTTTTGGGTTATGTCGATAACTTTAGATCGCTGTCTCTGAAATGTACTTGGACATATCTAATTTTCTCGTCAGCTACCCTTTTAATCAGAACTTTGCCTATAGATTGCATTCAATATTCTGTGGGCTACACCGTTACACTTCCATACTCTACTATATCTTTCTTCTTACTAATATTATAGATGAGTTACGATGTTCGGATGTTTGTTACTTACGCCCGGTTTCCGAAAGGCCGATCAATGTTAAAATCAATTCTTGTCAAGTCATCGGATTGGTTGACTGAATTATCAACAACCAATCAGATGACTTGACAAGAGATTTAACAGGAAATTAGTTAATTTTAGCGTTGACAAGCCTTTTAGAAACCGGGTGTTAATCACGCCAAACAGTGGACGGATCTGGATGAAATTTGTCACAGACAAAAAAAACACTCCGGAATAGGATATAGGCGGAAGTTAGTATACTATAATTATATCCTATAAAAGTTTATAGTGAGAGTGTAATGATAACAGTGTTTTATCAGCTATTTGGACAACAACAGAAGCAGCATGTACGCTGCCCCCGCGCAACATCATCTTCATGCCATTGACCCTTTTTATTTGGGGTCGGCGCAATATGTTTTTTTCTTCCATTCTGTCCTGTCCCCCGTCACGCTATCACTAACTAACTCTTCCATATCACTTCTCACGCTATCCATCCATATTTTTTTGGTCTCCATCCACATTTATACTCATGGCTTTATTGTAACATGCGTTTCATCCCTCCTTTTCACATGGCCACCAGGACCAACGGTTCCCTTGCAGCTTTTCAGTCACTGGCGCCACTTTCAGACTTCCTCTAATATACTCATTTCTCACTTTATCCATTCTCGTCACACCACACATCCATCTCAACATTCTCATCTCTGCTACATGCAATCGCTTTTCATCCGTCTTTTTCAGAGCCCAACATTCTGACCCATATAGCAGGACGCTGCCACCGCGCAACAATTTTACAATATTTCCGCAGATATTCTTCCACACCCTGCTCTGTTCCATCTGAACCACGCTATCCTCATTTGTTCTTTCCACATTATGTTGTGTGGCTTATTGAACTCATTGTTCAAGACACGCCACGGGCTATTATCATGAAGTGTACGCCTGGCAAACGATACTAAGTGCTTCTTCTGCTGTCTCTTATCTTTTACTGTTCTTTGGCCATATTCATCCTTTACATTCTTATTTTAACTCATGACTTTCACCTGATTTCATTACCATTATCATTACATTTTCTGTTTGTTATTAGAAATTATCTATATTTGTTATAGGTAATAAAAATTGATAATTTCTACGTTCCTGTAATCGGCGCCACTTTCAAGCTTCTTTTTCATTATTATCAGTTTTCTTACCATATCATATCATGCACACATGTATTCACATACGTTTTAGCATTGTTATCTCTGTCATATGTATAGATTTTTATAACCAGCTTTCAGACTCATACAGAAAGACAGGATAGTCCGATCAAATTATATTAGCAGAAAATATGTTGACTTGTTCAAAACACCTACAAACACCATACTAATATCATAAAGAGGTTTGTAAGTTTGTATGTATTTTTTTATGGTATAAGTCGGCAAACTTGCAGACGGATTACCTGATGGTAAGCAATCGGCGCCGCCCATGGACACCCGTAACACCAAAGGAGTTACGAGTGCGTTGCCGGCCTTTTGGGGAAAGGGGTTGCGGATATAGGGATCGGGAAGGGATAAGAGAAGGGGCGGGATTGAGCCTCCAGTAACCACACTCACACGGCGAAACAATGCTGTGGTTGTTTCACGCCGGATTTTTTGTGAGGCCGTGGCATCACTCCGGTCGGGCCGACCCATTAGTGCCGAAGCTTGGCTCTCCCACACTAAGCGTAGTATTACTACTATTATAATGTAGGGAGTAATCTTTGGAACCGCTTGTCGGATTGCCAAAATTCTTTTACTGAGAGATAGCTACAATGTTCCTGAATGCCACATCAAACATCACCGTGAAACAACATTTACGTTGTGTTTCGCCATGTAAGTGAGGTTACCGGATGCCCAATCCTTGCCTCCTCCCACCTCAATCCTCAAATCCCCTATCCTTAAACCCCTAATAACTTACAAGTAGTACACACTTGTAGTCCTTCCTTAGGAATTGCGAGTATCCATTGGCGGCGCTGATTGCTTCCCACCAGGTAATCCGTCTGCTCGTTTGCCGAACAATGACATATAAAAAAATTCAAGATAGGTACTGGCCAGTTTATAAAAACGCAAATACTCCGTTTTTGTGACACTTGACATCAGCAACTTTTTCCTCGAATCGGATCGATTGGGAACTTTTCTTTTGTAAGAGGTTTTGAACAATGTTACCAATGAGTTATTGAAGTTTAAAAATAAATGAAAAGAAAAAAAGCTTCTGCGAAGTCAGAAACCACCTTGTAAGTACCTTTATATATTAGATAATAATGCTCGAATCATGATCAGAGTTTTTGTGATGTATAAGTTCGCGTATTGTTTTCTTTTTCAATCTTTTTTTTTATTGTCATTAAATAAATATTAGGAAGTGAAAATCCAGTCGCGTAGGATACGAATTTATATTGAAATTTAAAATGGACAATATCTCAAAACAATTTTGAGCTAATAATATTAAAATATCGAAATAAAATGTTTATTTTTATATAGAAAGGAAAATACACACAAAAACTACATTTTTGCTCTTTAAAACCAATATATTTGCGAATCACATTCATAATAAAATTATTGTAAATAATTGTTAAGTAACATTACAATTTCACAATAAAGTAATTTTCGATGTCCAACAATTGAATCATCACTACTATCAATTTTGATTGATTATCCTAGCAGTTCAAATCTCCCAATAAAACAAGTTTATTAGAACTAATTCGTTACACATTACACATTATACCCAATACTTTTGTATTATTACTAAGTACATTTTACAAAAGCAATACCTAAACCAAGAAACACGAATGTTTGCATTTCAAGAAGCAAATACGCTTAACCAGCGTGTGGCCTCTTCGTGGTATGAGGTAGTGTCAGATTTTAACTGAGTTAAGGGCACCCCGTTCGTACCCCGTACTCTAAACCACTTGCACCAACCGAATCGAATCATCGCGGTTGGGAAGCAAGGAGGTTAGCTCCCTCACGCGCTAACATGGTTTCCTAGTTCCTTGCGCCCGCACCTGAAGTCTTAGGCTACTATCCCACTGGCGTTTTAAGATTATGGCGGCTTTCGAACGCGACGTTGTCATCGCATTGACACCCGCTAGAAGCGACGTCAACGTCGCGTCTGCGCAACGTTAACGTCGCGTTTGTTGGCAACAAATGAAGTCTTTGGCATTTGCAAAGATTTGTAAAATTTCGACTCATTTCTATTTTTAATATTATTAGAATACAGTGCGAAATTTTCACTCGTGATCGATTGGACCATAAAGTGTTTTCCTGAAAATAATGATGAGATTTTCTTTTTCTGTAACGTAATTTTGGTCAAAGTAGTAATAATAGTGTTTCCCCGTCGGAATCCATTATGTTTCTGATTGTAAGCCTCAACTAATAGCATCATGTGTGCGACATCAACGTCTCGTTTAGCGGATGTTAATAATACTTGCCGCGCGACAATGCGACGTCTACGTCGCGTCTGCGCGACTCCATGTTGTCGTCAACGCTAGTAAAACGCCAGTCGGATAGCGGCCTTAGTTTTAAACAGAAAGTTTTATTACAAATCATAAGTAACCTATATCACAAACATTTATAACGTAACTCTTTGGCAAGCTTTTAGACGTATTACGTGGCACAGATACAACATTATAATTATATTAATTACCATTTACATTATTAATTTACAATATTAATAAAAAAACATATTATGTGATTGTAATTTATAATCAGTGCTGAATCAAACATTTTTTTTAAAATTAATTAACAGCTGAACAAGATTTTTTACAAGTAGGTAAGTTATAATTTAAATGAGGAAAAATTAAATTTAAACAAATTACGTCAAAAATTTAAATCTGTAACCCGAAAGGGCCAACAACGCATTTGTCTAACTTCTCTAGTGTCGAATTTGGTTCGTTTCTTAGTATCAGGTGAAAATTTCATGTTCTTTTCCATACCTAGTAGGTATATTTTTTTTTGTTAAAACCAACAAGACTTTTTTTTACTTAGACAGATTCTCAATTTGCTTTTAACTAAATAAAAAGTTTAGGGGTGTAGAATTAGCTATTTACAAAAGGTGCTATTTAAAATGGACGTTTAATATTTTAAGCCTTAATATTTAACCTTTCATACCTTTCCATACAACACTTAGGTATATTTTACAAATTCTTTGCATTGCAAAGGGTAATATCGTTACGTAATAAAACGTTCCGTCTTAAACAGTGTCACTGCCCAGACTAGGCAGTATAGGTTTTCAATTAACTTCATCAAGAAATATCAATAAACCAAATCTTAAAACATCATCAAATACTTAGAATTATTTTTAACAATACAATATTTCGTAATTAACCTGTTTCAGTTTTAATATTTATTACATTTTCTTTTATTTAATACACAGTGTAGATTACTTTATTAAAATTTATAATTGTTTAGTTAATCATCATTTTTATATCTGCTCAAAAAGGCAATAAGTATTTTTGTTTTATTTTAATTAGTGCAATAATTGGGTATATTTAAAATATTTTTACAAGTATAACTCAGTCAACTTACATTAGAAATTGGTTTGCAAATACATATTTGATCACTTTTTACCTTGTATATTTGAGAAAACAAAATAAAAGTCCTAACTACAATCACAGTTTACTCTATAACTTTTAAAACCTTTCCAATGGCCACGGTTTTGTTCTCATCCCGTAAAGTTAGTCGTCCCAATTGATTAACATTTTTAAATGGTTCCAAGCAAATAATTCCAGCGCAGACTATTCTGACTATAGCAACCTGCCCCTCTTTAATATATCTTGGCCGTGTTTTGGACTTTTCACCCGTTTTCTTATCGATAAGGCAAAACAGAGCCTTGACGGAAACTTCTTCAACAGCACAATGAATGTGCATTACTGCTGAATATCCAGCACATATAATTGATTTATGCTGCAATATTAATAACTGCGCATCGAATACTCTACCTGTTGTTATAGGTTGAGCAACATCACAAAGAACAAAACCGGTGGAAACATCGTCTTCTTCAATACTTTTAATTTTTACCTTTACGTTTTCCCCACATGAAATTGACGTGACTTCTATATCATCAGACCACAGCTGGTCTACAGTTACATGTAATCGGTTAGGCATTAGTAACAAAGTTGTTCCTTTGCGAGTGACTCCAGATTCTACTTTTCCCATGAGGACAGTACCCATGTCTTTATATTTATCAACTATCGGCATTAAGAAATGTCCATCGTCGTTACGACAGAAAGACGGTAGTTCATCTACCAATTGTATAAAAGACGGTCCGCGATACCATGGGCAAATATCTTCTGGTACTTGATGGAGTATTCCATGTCCGGTTTGTCCCGATATTGGCATAAATGCCAAATCTTTTGGCTCTGTAAAGCCCAGTTTCTTGAGAAAAGGAATAATCTTCTCTTTACAGTCGTTATATCGTGCTTCGCTCCAGTTTACTGTCGGGTCGTCCATTTTGTTAATGACAGCAACCAGATATTTCACCCCAGCCGTTTTGACAAGCATAGCATGCTCTCTCGTTTGTCCACCTCTGTCGAAACCTGTTTCAAACTCACCTTTCCGAGCGGATATTACTAGCACCGCTAGATCTGCCTGTGCCGCCCCACCAATCATATTAGGTATGAAGCTTTTGTGGCCTGGAGCATCAAGGATTGTGAAATGTTTCGTTTTGGTTGAAAAGTGTGCTCTTCCGACTTCAACAGTTTTACCTCGATCACGCTCTTCTTGATTGGTATCGAGAGCCCATGATAAATACCAAGACTCTCTAGACTTTTCTCGTGCCTCTTTTTCATATTTTTGTAAAGTGCGTTTATCTACCATTCCCATTAAGGACATAATTTGCCCACCAATAGTAGACTTACCTGCGTCTACATGTCCCACTAAAACCAAATTTACATGATCTTTTTTGTTACTCCGGCTATCCTGTGACCTCTGTTTTTTGTATTTCTTAGTTTTAGTGTTTTTTGTCTTATTTATAGTGCTTTTTTCAGGTAAAACTAACATAGGCTTTTGAGATTCTTTTTCTGGTAAGATAGGAGAAGTGCTAATACTATTTGCATTTGTAAACAAAGCACACGTACTCGTAGGTTCCGCAGATGCTTCTTCTGATAAGTTGGAAGATGTATAAAAAGATTTTTCGGGCAAAGGTATATTTGCAAGGAGGTCATATTCTTCATACATAGTTAATGGAGATTGGTTTCCTACCTCCATGGTCCTTGTTATGTTATTGTGTTCCATTCTAGATAATTCTTCAATTAATTTAGAATTCGATGCAATTTGCATTGATAATGAAGAGTAAAAACTGTCTGAATTAATCGGTAGTGATGTATCCATATCGGAATCATTATGCTCTTCAACCTCTACGGGTGTTGATGGTGCATTTAGAAATATTTGAGTTGATTGTAGTACATCTTCATGACTAAGTTTGTTATAATCAGTAGGTGTCTCTTTTGGCTGATAAGGGTAATCCAAATTAGCTACTTTAAAATAATTTTCTGAACTTTGAATACACATATCAGTGTTTGGTGTAGATGATTGGTCGTTAACTGGTGAATCACCATGTCGCGCACGTAAATGCTTGCTGTCCGGTATATGGAAACAACACATTTTTTGGTATGTGTGAAAAAAAGGGTCCGTTATGGCAGCAGATGAAAAACTTAGATTTGAAAATTGTTGACACAACATTTCAATTTCTTGGTTTCTTTCATCAGAAATAGGTGGCGTTTCAATGAGTTGTGGTGATGGTGTGCTTTGCTCGTAACTTTCCATGTTTGTGGCACTCAGCCCAATCTGTTTATCCTCACTAGCTGACATTATTTGTTGAAAACTTTAAACTGTCAGCAATCAACACACTATCCGCAATTTTGCACAATTGTTGCAGTTTTATTCATAGTTCACGTCATAATTGTCACTAGAACACAGTTTATTGGTCTGTTAAGGTTAATTCAGTCCATATGTAAGTTTTGTATTGTAACTTTCACGGTCCAATCATTTTATGTTCACATATAATCACGTTTCACCAAGAGATATATGCGGGCTCGAAATCATAATACACACTATGTCACTCGATTTTTGGTGGTCGACAAAAACTAAAGAAAAACGAATAAGAACGAATCTTGAGTATAAGTCTAAGTCTGGAATAGACTAGGGTTTTTTGTTCCGATAATATAATAGTCACGAGAAACGTTTCCCGCGTTTCGTTCCCGGCTAACACTGTTTTGAACTACACAATCGACATGAGCTACGCTACGGCTGACAAGACAGTGTTGCCAACGCTGTCCTGTCGATTTACACCAAATTCATGCTAAGAATATGTAGTCTGTTCGTATTTATAAAATTCTCATAATTTGGATAATACAGCCTGTATTTGATTAAGATAAGCGAGTATATTTTTAGACGGTTATAAAAAACACAAAAGTAATCTATTGCTTAAAAAAATAATATGCTTTATCTAACATAACCTGCACATTTCATGTAAGTATCATGTGAAATCAAAGCAATGTATGTTAACATGTATGGTTACTTAGGTTATTATAAAAAGAACCAGAGTTTTTCAACGACAAACACATTAAAGCAGTAATTTTTATCATAAAGCGCCTTCGATTCAGCACCTGGCTTCACTAACGAACAGACTGACTGAATTTTATTCTGTTTTAACGTTTCAAATGTGTCTGTATATGGTTGGGGTGGAATAAATGTTTTTTTGACTTTGACTTGGAGAAATAACAGAATATATTCCCTTTAAATTGAAATCGATGGGAAAATAATGATTTGACCATTTTGTATTGATTTTTTTTTATATATTTTCTGTAGTGTACCTCGCCCCATAAGTAGTGTCAGTCATTGTAATAATGTGCACTTATCAACAAAATAGACATATCACAGCCAATCAGCTTAAGAAGCCATTCAATTATTATTGTGGATTTCGTTTATAAAACAGCTTTTTATGACTGTTTTAATTGATTGTTTACATAATTAATTGTAGTAGCATTTTAATGTTGATGGTGATTTGATTTCTCTGCTGGTCGCATTTCTAACATAACAAAACTTACCATTCTAGTAGCGAATCTATTTGATATCTTGAATGACTTAGAATTCAGGTCATTTGGTTAAATAGCTAACCGTTGGCTACATCTACATTCATTATGCATCATGAAGAGAATATAGATCCTTGATTGTGAAGCAATAACATCCGTAAAACGTCCAAAAAAAAATTAAGTTGAAAGTCTTTTGATGAATATTATAATATTCCCGCTTGTTTACAAAAACTAAACACAAAATATAAAAAGCATATTAAATTATTATTAGATCAATGTTGGTGGGCCGTGAATTTCCCTTTATTCGGGGAAGCATGTTTTGTAACAATTGGCAACCCCACTAGCCATTCATTCACTGAGCGGATTGCTATGAAGTTGTAGCGTATTATTGTCGTAGTTTAACAAACGTTCTTTGACATTTCCGATTTCGGCGACATGGATATTAATACATCTTTTTAAAATTGAAATGTATAGTTGTTACTACATATTATTCAAATTTAAATGTATAGTTGTTGTTGTTGTTTTTTAGTAAGATATCATGTATGTGTAGTTGTATTCGTAAAATAAATAATTAGTAATTTCAGTTTCAGAATTAGTTCCCCGTTAACTTGGCAGATAATTTCATCATATCATAATTTGTATGTGATTTCAATAATAGTGTAGGTGATTACTAAGATTTTATAATATTTAACTATTACCAATAACTTTAAAGTACTTAAAAGTATTAGTTCAATTTTTTTTTTATAATATGAACTAATTAAACTTGCTAAACTATAAAGCAGGTTTATTGTGTGACTCAAAATTATTGAAATGTTAAGCACAGTAAAGAAATATCTTAATATTGTCGGAGCATGCGCAAAAGGGGCCATAGCCTTTTCCTTTTCATGATGAGTTTTAAAGCTAGTTTCACCGCTACTTCTGTAAGCTTTGAAGCAGATATAACTAAACTGTTTTAGACATTATCAAAATGAATCGTCTAACTTAGACTAATCGATAGGTGACCAAAAGCGGTGAAACATTTTTTTTTATGGTATAGGAGGCAAACGAGCTTACGGATCACCTGATGGTAAGTGATCGGCGCCGTCCATGTACACCCGCAACACCAGAGGAGTCACTGGTGCGTTGCCGGCCTTTTAACAATTACTACTATAATTTCTTGAAGGTTTGAAGGTCGTAACGGTTCGGGAATACCACCGCCGGAAGATCATTTGAAAGTTTGATTATGATTATAAATAAGGGCCTTGGGGTATAATTATAGGCTATATTTTTAAAGATTATATTTAATAATATTTATTCTTTCAAAATACGTCTTAAATTTGTTTTTGTGTATATTCCGATATATTTGTAGAGTGCAGTATGTAGGCGTTGGAAAGGAAAATTCACAGGTTTTTTTCCTTTAAATGTGAATTTCACTTGGTTTTTCAGGTTTTCTGAACCTGACATTAATATTGTATGCTGACGGTGTCATTCTTATTTAATTAATACATTGTGACGTTGACTCTCAATTACAGGTTATTAATAGTTTGGAGTTTTTTCTCAATTTTATAATTATCAATGTACTCGCACACGCTGCTCCCCGAGTCTCGTCTGACATGATCCTAGTACTTATAGAAAGCTTTGTTCAGGAAATACACGTGGATAATTAGTCTATAATATAAAAATTAATCGCAAAATGTGTTGGTAAGCGCATAACTCAACAACAACTGCACCAATTTAGTTAATTCTTTTTTTGTTGTATTTATTATGGCCAGGAAAAGGTTCTTATGCAAGAAAATATTAGTAAAGTATAGGGGAAAATTGGGCAAACTGACCCTTTTGTTGTTAGAATAGTAAGACCCGTGCGAAGCGGGGGCGGGCAGCTAGTTTCCAATAAATTTAATGTTTTTAATAATAGGTCTTTACCTATGAAATTGCCGTTTTGCATGAAAAAAATTAAAATAATAATTTATGATAATGTAACACTAATCAATAAATAAATGACTACTTTTGGAAAAAGAATCCCATGTTTTTAAAACAAAATTAATTAGCCTTAGCCTAACACAAACTATTTTGATTTGAAATGGCCAGTACTGTAGAACGGCAATTTCATAGGTAAAGACCTATTATTATAATTTCAAACATGGCTTGTTCATTGTTTTTCGTCGAAGATGAAGTTTTATGCAAGTAAAGTGTGGGAGAGCCATGCTCCGGCACGAATGGGTCGACTCGATCGGTTTGATACCACGGTCTTACAGAAAACCGACGTGAAACAACCACAGCGTTGTGTTTCGCCGTGTGAGTGAGGTTACCGAAGAATCCAATCCTTCCCCTACCCCAATCCCTCCTTATTCCCAAAATCTCCATATCCCAAACCACCTAAAGGTCAGCAATGTACTCGTAACACCTCCGTCGTTGCGATTGTCCATGGGCGACGCTGATGCTTACCATCAGGTAATCGGTATGCTCGTTTGCCGACCTATCACTTAAAAAAAGTAATATGTATGTTACTAAGTTTAGCAAAACTTCTGTTCTTTAATGTAATGTTTGCAAGTAATGTTATGAGATATTTTATCTCTACATCTCTCACGAGTTTGATTAGTAGATAATTCTTTGGTAATTAAATTTGCCGGCCCACTCTTAATGTGCGTAAAGTTTTAATTTAGTAAATAACAAACCTAATATGAATTTTTGATTGGTTATGATATCATCGACCTATAAGTGCCCACTGCTGATCATAAGCCTCTTCTCATACGGAGAAGATTAGAGCATTAATTACCACGCTTGCTCAATGCAGGTTAGCGATTTCAAACTTATAATTAGATATTATAAGTCCAGGTTTCTTCACGACGTTTACCTTCACCGTATGTCAGTTAAATAATCATAGAAAGTACATATAACTCGGAAAAAGTGACATTAGTACTTGCCAAGTTTCGAATCCACATCCTCATGCATGAGAAACGGGCTTCTTAACCTCAGGGCCACCACAACATTATAAAACTATGATATAACATAACAATTTCATACATAGCGCGCCACTTCTGATATTTATACGAAATGCATTTCAAAAGAAAAATAAAACGGCCCGCTATAGTAGCTATAGTCGTACTTCTAAGGAATGTAAAAAGGGATGGAGGAAAAATCATTTGAAAGGACTGTAATGCCCTACTCAATCTTCAGCTCAGTGTGTACCTATTGTGTATTATGTATACATGCCTACTTGTTTTTTTCTTTTAAAAACAATTATTTATTGTTGCTTTAGCAGTTCATCCTTGTGGCCTTGTTCCACCGAGAAAATATATTCTCGATGCCTTGTTCTCATATAATAATGGGCTTTACTAGCCACTCCTCTCTGATACGAGTCAATTCATTTTCCCTCAAGTATCACTTAGTCATTATTAAATGTAGATAGGTACTTACGGCATTTTATTAGAAAGTACTATTAGTTGATTTTACTATCCCATATTTTGTTAACGATAGGTACTTAATTGGGTAGTTTCCTAGGTCAAAAATAAATTAATTACACTAAAATATTGAAAAATAACTGTACTTTTATTCATCGATCGATTAATACACTAAGTTTTAGATTTTTTATAGATAATTATTAAGAAATAAGTAACCTATTTGACGCAAAAATGTTACGACGTCATAACTCAGTTTTTCATACAAATTTCATAAGAAAAGTATCGTTTTTGACGATTGGATAAAAGTATTGAATTTGACTAGTTGGAAACTACCGTATTCTTGATTTTAAAATTTGACTGTGTTTCGAATTTTGCGTTATAGCGGGATACTTGTCATACAGACATGACTATCAGGTTCAAAAGTAAGTCTCTGATCATTAGAATTCGTATACTGGCGCATAGCTGTTTTATTTTGAAATTAACTCTCCCTTCTTAAGTTAGTACTTATAGCTCAAGAAGAATATTGGGAATACACAACCATTTCCAACCAGAGACAATAGTATGTGTACCCACCTAAATTACATAGATTGCTTAAAGTTTATTGTTGTTGAATTAATGTTGTTCGCGAGCATAACCTCTTCTACCTCTTTTTAAGAATCAACTGAATTTACTCAATAGGACCTATGTTTTTATTTGAAGCGTATAGTATTTTCTTTCATGTAGTACCTACTTAAGTAACAAATAACCTCGTAATATTGATCTTCATCAAAATAATAAGGTTTATTTTTTCGCAATGCAAACATTCGCTCAAACATTTTGCTTAGAGTTCATGGACTGCTGAGATGTTCCTGAAGCAGCTATGTACCTAAATCGAAGAAAAAAATCTTCTAATTGTAACTCATAAGTGTATAGTTATAAGGTAAATCGCAATTGCAAAAGTTTGCTTAGAATAAAGCCAAAAGTACCATCACCTCATTCGCGTAGCGGTTTCACTTACCCAGTTTGCCAGGTATGACATCAAAAACTTCGTTTCTGTCGTGTATAAACGAAGGATTTGAGTATATTTCCTGAAAATAAAAGGAAAACATATAAATACCAAAATATTCCAGCTGTGTTGTAGAACTGACATCTTCAACTATGGGTAGCCATCTTCAATTTCTAATTTACCCGCGTATAACAGTGTTGCCATTGCAAATTTAACAACAATAAAAAATGATAATTTCAATGTCTATTTCTGTGAAGCTATTGTTAAGAAGAATACTAAAAAATATAGTACGTTGATTGGCTAAATTTTTATTAAATTCGGACCACAAAGAACCAATCTTGGTTTTCTTATTCTAGTAACTTATTTGTAAAATAACAAGTATTTAATTTCAAATGTTTCTAAGATTATGAAAGTTTTACACACATTTCTTTGGTAATTAATGTTACATTCTGTCAATTTGTTAAATAAGTAGTTTGTCGTACAAAACGATGACGTCAAAGCTATCTAAGTATCAATGCCGTAATAATATTTAATATTTAGAACATCAGGTGTTTGCAGTTTTATTAAATTAAATTATTTTCTTTGTAGCATCATATTCGAAATTTGTTTTTCATATTTAAGTAGTTAAAATGCGTTAAAGGAATAAAAACGAAATTACACTTCTACATAAATTTTGCATCTAACAGAGAATCAGACATGTAACATATTCCTTTTGATTGACAACACAAAGCCCTCTTGTGGACATTAATAGGTTAGTAACGACATCTATCACTTTATAGTTGTACTATTTGGTATTGACTTTACTAACGTTTACCAGCGTACAACAAAGTTAAACAACGTATTAACGGAATATTGATTCATCATGTACCTAGGTACTTACAACGAAAACCGCTGTAGTTAGTTGTAAAAAAAAAATTACCTTACAACTCCTAAAAAAATGTTAAAATGGCACTATGTCTATTTAAAAACCATTAATGCTTATAGAATAAACAATTTCGTACCTACTAAAATGAATGATGAAATGAAATGAGAATAAAGAAGAACAAGAGTACGCCTTAAACTAATTACGAATAAGCCGAAGTAGGATGCCATCTAGCGGGGATTCAGTTTAAAATGGAGGACGATAGGACAGTACTGATACAGGCGAAATACTACATTACATGTAGACAAAACTACTATTGGCCACTCAGATAACCCTTCTATACTATTTTTAGCCAAAGATAAACTGTCCAGTCTTCTTGTACCTATATAATTATAGTCCCGAAGTTATTGGTGCCTAAAGTATGTTGCATCGCAGAAGGCTCCGACTATATTTGAGACTTGCTTTTGCCCTCGACTTCGTTCGCAGGGAATTGTAACTGACTGTAGATTTTTGGTTTTACCCAAATACTTTCGAACTCGCTTTATGTTTGAGAATTTCCCGCTCCCGCGGTGTTTTCGGAATAAAAACTATCCTCTGTCCTTTCTCAAGTTCCAAACTATGTCTGTACCAAATTACACATAAATCAGTAAAGTAGTTTCGGCGTGCAGAAAAGACAGACAGACAGAATTACTTTCGCATTTATTATATTATATTTTGGATTACCCTTGGAATAAACAAATGGATAGACCTGCTATCCTTTCCTTTCCTTCGTTTGTCCCTTCATACCCTTGTTACCATGGTAAATGGTGACAGATGTAAAACGCACATTCATACATACATACTTATACCTACAAATATATAGTTACAAATGCCACGAAAGTTTAGTAACTGTTATCCGTATAAGGATACTTGTTAATTTCGCCGTCCGCCCAATGCCGTGAGGTATCAATGAACTGATGTGATGAGCACCTTGTCTGCAGGTGGGCGGTAGTGACAAGGTCGACCACCAGCCCACCACCCGCTGCCAACGCAATACCTCTTACTTTTCATACATTCCTTTTGTGACACATTTTTAATAACTGGTTCTTACCGGTATCTTAGTACCTACTAGTCGGGGAAAGTGTTTCTAAAAACAACTTTATGACACTCAAGACAGATATCATTATTATACTTGAATGACTCGTTGGACCAGTGCTCGTAAGCGCGGCTACTCAGCACATAGTTTGGGTGTGATCTCAGATCTCACAATGTCACTTTCGTTTATGTTGATATGAATTTTTAATAGCATTGTGAATGTGTTTTATCTACACATTACAAAATAAAACATCTTTTATGGTGTTTTATTTAATATATACTGACTTATCTCTGACCAATAGAGTGGTTACATTACAATTAATGTCTGGTTCTTTTTATTATTTAATGTTTGAGTCAAATAAGCAACAAATAGTTTGATAGGTTTGAAACCAATTTCCCGCAGGGTAAACTTTTACCTATTCTCTATTACCTATGAATGTTCTAGCTACCTTCGTTTTTAAGTTATAAGTTCCAGTATCAAAGCATATCAAAGTAGTGAAAAAATGTATATAAATGACATGGCGTTTTGATGAAAAATAATATTTTATTAGTATAATTAAAATCTTGATGAACTATTACTTAATATAGGAGGGCAAGTTTCCAAAAGCCGTGTTTAATTGGTTTGCCGATCATTAGATTTTGTGACTAAGATAGGTTGCTTTTGTACTTGACAATGTCTATAAAATGATATTCGATCACGGGAAATTATTATGTTCGTATAAAAAGCTATATAACACGACATATAAGTCAATACTAATCTGTTTATTTCATTTAATTAACAAATTTACATAACTATTGAATTGTACCTTAGATCTCTATCTACTTTTTTCATTTGAAGACTGAAGTTAAAAATATTCGTAGCTATCTACTTGTACTAATATTATTAAAGTGTAGTGTTTGTTTGTTCAAACGTATTAATCTCCGGAACTGCTGGTTCTCTAATTATTATGTGTTTGTTAGTCTGTAGGTATATCGAGAAGGTTAAGGCTATAAAACATCAGTCTACGGTCAGTAGGAGCAGTGGGTGAAACCGCTCGAGCTTAGCTAGTATATTTATAAAATTATGATAATGTTTTATATCGAATGAAAAGAGTTACTAATGTAAGTCCCAGATCCTGGTGATGAAGTTAAGTTATTCCATACTCGCCATATTTTTTTGTTAGCTTGACATCATCTCTCAATTAAGAGATTTATGTATTCCCAATAATGAAACACGATCTAAAAATACCACTTGCACAGGTATTGTATCGATTCGAAAAATATTAATACTTAATAAAATATTCATTTCGAAATCTAGACGAACTAGTTTTAGCTGTTTTTTTACGTCTGCAACGTCATACTGTCGCTATCGCTTAATGCAAGGACGGAATCATCACTGATTTTTATTTTCTAACTCAACAGCGCTATTCTCATATGTTTCCTTAACTATTAATTCTTTGAATTTTCATCGATTTTTTTAACTTTTGGAACAAAATAGGAGCTCTCTTAAGAATCCGTTATTTTAATGTTGTTATGTTTGATGTCTTCTCAGTTTTTCTATTCGTAAGCGTAGGTACATGTATTTTGACCCATAAAAATAAATTTGTTCAATGTATAATAATTAATTTTCACTTAAAATATAGCAAAATGCTGTGAAATTACAGCTTCACAGAAAACCGGCGTAAAACAACCAAAGTGTTGTGAAAAAAGGTCGGCAACGCACTCGTTAGTACTGATGTGGGTGTCAGTGGGCGGCGCTGATTGCTTACCTTCAGGTAATCGGTCTGCTCGTTTGCCGACCTATACATAAAAAAATCCCGTAGGAAAGAAGTTATCGCCATTTTTATCACATTTTACCGAAGTGTTAATCGATCATTTATTACTCAATATATGAGGATATCTTAGTTATAGTTTTAACCTAAAGATATTTCTGGTACGATCGTAATTGCCATTTATTAAACGCTAATCAATAATTTTCTTTAAAATTTCAGTGCGACCTCGGTTTGTGAACTAATTCATTTTAGAAATTCTGTTACATTATTTATCACAACACTAAGCGCTACGTTATTGATTGACAATTAAATAGCCTTGAGAAGTACCTAGTAATTTTTTTCGAAGGGAAAATTTTCTAAGGACCAACTTTATGTGACAAACTACTACTAAATCATAGAAATTACTGAACCGATGTAGAAGAAACTCATAGGTCGTATCGCGTTTTAAATACTGAATTGAGTATATTTTTTTATGGATTTGGATGGCAATCTTTGGAACCGCTGGTCGGATTTACAAAATTCTTTTACTGATAGATAGCTACAATGTTCCTGAGTGCTATAGGCTATAAAACATAACGCTACGATCTCTAGGAGCCGAGCAGGGGTTGAAAGCGCGCGAGAGTAGCTAGTCTTAAATAATAAATACTCTTCCTTAACCCTTAATTCGACGTTGTGCAGTATACTTCACATTGAATAAAAAAAGAAATTACTTCAAAAATTAGACCGTGTATCCAGAACCAACATACTATAATTGCATCCAGAACTATTTACCTACGTAGTCAAAAATCAACAACGCGTTCACATCGACGAAACGCGATCAGTCGCCGGCGAGATGGCGGGGAGGAAGGACTCGCTGCAATGCGATTCACTAACAGAATCATCATAGATGTTAACAACGACGCGGTCACGGATGTTTCATCGTAAATATCGCTTCTAAAAACAACGTTGATAAAAACCGTATTCGCTAAGCTACATAAGCTCGTCGACGATCTGCCGAACAACGATGATGAGTATGATGTTGGCAGTGTTGCTATGTTTAATCTAGAGTATAATCGAGAAAATCTCGACTAACCTATATTTAAGTTATTTCGTCATTTTAAATTAATACAAATTCACAAGACGTATTTATAAAACACGTTATATTTAATAAGCAACAAATGTTTAATTAATTATATCATTTTAGACTTGGAAAATAATTAATTTTGATTATAGCAATAAAACAAAACTAAATCTTTGACAATTTTATTTATAGGTTATGTATTTCAAAACAAACAACTTGATCTTATCTTGAAAGTTTTTTATCAAATTAGGAAATTCCAAAGTTCTAAGTGGCTTTAAGTGGCTAAGTGGACTTTAAAAAAATTGTGCACCCCAACCCAATGGCGTTCTACTTGT